ACTCATGAAATTTTATGGATCCATTAAAATTTTGCATTACTATTTTCAATTTTATTGTGTGTTTCTGCTTCCTATTCTAGAATACTGCCACTCATTCTTCGGCATAATAAACGAATCTGGCCGTTCAAAAATTGAAGATGTCCAAAGAACATTTCACAAAAACCTACTATACCCGACACGTTCAACTACGAATGGAAGTCAGTATGCGTGCGCAGGTTCTTGTAGCAAAGAAGACAAGGGCGCAATCCCTGGGACAACATTTGTATGAGTCTGAGCTTTTAGACTCGTATACGAGGCTCTCATCAGGGAAAGTGAGGGAACAGCAAGAACTGACATGTTTTCGGAGATCAAAGGGACGCTGATGGGTTCCCCGATAACCAGTCTAATCACAACATTGGTCTTACAGAAGCTGGAAAATGTCGTCTTCAGTCAATTCGAAGCTATATTCAGATGCGCATACGTGGAAGACACCTTCTTTATAATCGAACTGGGCATACTTTCAAAACCTGCTTAGCGATATATTTCTCGGCATCCAATTCCCAAGGGAAGAAGGGAATGACGAAAAACTGCCTTTCCTTGACGTTCTCGTTACGCGCAAACCCAGTGGAAAATTCAGCACCGCGATGTATGGAAAGGTTATTAGCACAACCCGGATGCTCAGCTTCCATAGCAATCATCCAATGGCGCATAAAGGCGGCTTTATTAGAGCACTGTTTCAGAGACTAAAAACGCATTGCGATGAATCTGAGGAACGAGTGCGAGAACTGCGGCATCTTTAGGACTAACTGGCAAGGAATGGATACCTGAACAGCTTCATCAGCCGCTGCCTCCGTACACAAACGGGGAACAAACGGAAAAGAGCCACCAACATTCTGGTGTGCTCTAGCGTACATAAAGAATGTGCCAGGGGCAACTGAGCGTATCGCGGCAGAACTCTGCAGGGATATTGCTCATCGTCCGACAACTACCATGCGTCCACGGATCGTGCAAATAAAAGACCGACTGGAGGTGGGTGAGCAGCCATGTCTTGACTGTTTTTGCCATTATTCAGGGCAGACAGGACGACGACTTAGCCCGCGAATAACGGAGCACAAACGGGCCGTGCAGAAAGGCAACCCACCGTCCCAAATCGCTATCCACACCCTGGAATAAGTCCAGGAATTCGACTTCATAGGCACGCGGATTAGGGCGTGAGCCAATAAGAAGACGGAGCGAGAATTACTAGAGGCCTGGGAGTCAGATTCCAATTGCATCAACAGGCACGTGGATATACTGCCCTTTTACTTCGCCTTCCTTTCGTGCAACCAATAAACATGGCTCAGCTCGTGTCCAGGGAAAAAAGCCACGACGCCAAGGACGCATGCCACGAGGCCAAGGCCACAGGCCATACCGCCAAGTACGCATGTCAAGAAGATACGGTGAGACGACGTAACGTGGACTCAACCATACGCCCCCTCGCCCATTCCCCATTGTCTCGTAGTCGGACTACAAAAATACGTCAATTCTTGCTATTATCCCACGTTCTGTGACGATGGCTTCTTGTACAAGCCCAAAGGCTCAGACTTATACAAGCGCTGTCCCAGTGGCCGTGCCTTTGTCTTCTTTGCAACTTTTAATTACTTCCAAATCAAATAGATGCCAGCTAACAAACCTAAAATTTCTTCGGGTCAAGGGGTTGGAAGCAGGCTTTTGTCTCATTTTTCGTCTAAATAATAGTTCAAATCTTCCCAAGATTTCTGTCCTTACCCCCGTTAGTCGTCCA